ATGATGACATGTGTATGTTCCAACTCAGGAGGGCACAGCCTACTGAGTAAGACTGAAACTCGTGAGAACACAGTTCAACGAGTGGATGTCGAAAGAGCTCAACCATGCTGGTGCATGGCTCAAGAAACTTGGCTCAAGCCAAGCAAGTGATCTAGCACCTGTCGTCCCAACTGCTATCAGTCAGTGCGTGAAGCCTTCTTGCAAAGACCGCAGCGAACATCCGTCCGCCGCAAGCAAAAGTGTGGAGCGAGAGGATCTGCAAGGGTTATTCGTGACAACGTTGGAAGCAACCACTTTAAGGTCATATACGACAAAGTGTATATCAAGCCCTCTCGCAACGAGGATACTGATATTGATAATGTTGAAGGGAATACTTTTCCATTTTCTGCTTTTAGTAATAACAGTAATAACGATAGCGACACTACAAACAACAACACACAATATAGTAATAGCAATGATTAGATTAGTTGTACCAAAACCAGCAAGAAGAGCAAGTGTAGGACAGAACATACCAGAGTACCAGATAATGTCACGTAGCAAAACATAGCACAACCAAGGACAACATAGCATAGCATAGCATAGCATAGCACAGCATAGCATAGCATAGCATAGCATAGCATAGCATAGCATAGCATAGCATAACACAGCAAGACAAAGCATAGCAAAACATTGCATGATGTGGCATAGCGAAACAGACCAAAACATAACATAATATTATAAAATGGAATGGCTTGATATAGCGCAAAGACAACATCATCTAGTACAGCGGGCCAGACAGAACGGTGCATCACCCAATATACTGCAAAGGGATACGGTACAATATACCGTGCTATATGATGTACTGTGAGATAAACCATCAAATAAACACAATGTCATATCCCACAGGTTGAAAAACAGTTACCGGCATCTGCTCCGGTGGGCCTGTTGATGCCCTGAACTTGCTGATGCGCACACCCTGCAAGATGGGAACTTGATCTCCGAATCCTGCATCAACTCTGCGGAGCAGCTGATGGATGGTACTACGGTGGCTACCCAGTACTATCAGACACTGGATTCCAGATAGTCGAGATGGTAGCAATGGTCTCACCAATGACCATGAATCTCATGTCCCCAAACAGTCCCATGACTGCACCCGATGGCTTCAATGTCAATTCCAGGAGATACAAGCGTGACAATGACAAGGAGGCCAATCGGGCATGGAGAAAGGATGTGGATTGGAGGTCAGCGTGTCTTCAGGATTCAGGAGATCTTTACAGTAAGGATCCCTTGACGGGGTCCTGGTATTCAGAGAACGCAGCAAAGGAGCTCGAGAAAGTGCCAAGCTGCGAAGTAGAAGTTTTGCTTCAGAATAACATGCTTTTCAGAGCTGGGCAACTAAACAATCACATCCAGTGTCGCGATTAGATCCGGGCCCCGGGCTCTAGAGTATGGAGAATGAAGCAGCCACTCCGGGAGCTTTCCGACGTTGACGAAGTTGCCTTTGTGGTTGGTCGGTGACATTGCTCACCGGCACTTCAAGCACCAAGGTTGTGAACATGCCTGCTTGGGGTCCCAGATCAAGTAGGGAGACTCTGGGCCAGTGGATGCGGGGACAGCATGTGGGTCGCGGCTGGACTGGCACCTGCTAAAGGACCAAGGTTCCCGTCGACTTGCTTCCTACTTCGAGTCCTGAGGAGAAGCGCCCTGTCGCTACGGGGTTGGGTTTTCGGAGAAGCGCTCGAAAGAACTCCTAAGCAGGGCAAGGAGCTAACCATCCTCACCAGCCTCTTTAGGACGCGGGAGGAGGCGTGCGTTTCGGCGCTCCCGATGCGGTGCGGTGCGAATTGCGCCGCACATCGGGCAATACTCTTGCTGTTTTCGTGGCCTGGCGACGTCTCCTCGCGTTTAGAGCTGTGAGGGCGCGAAACGCGAGATTCTCGCTTCTCGAGTTGTGGGTTACTAGTATGGAGCGTGAAACTCCCGTCGGATGACGATGATGATGATGGTGATGACGGTGACGATGGTGATGGCAATGCTGATGATAGTCATCGTAGATGGCCTTCTCACTGTTTGGGGTGTACGCCGGCATAATTTTCGAGGGTTCAGAGTTTTGTGAGGAGTCACTTCATTTCATTATTGAATATTGATGTTGTAGCCAAGTTCCTGAGAATCAAAACAAGCCCGCAAAGAGTTTCCGCCTGGAGGTGCGCAGAACCACGGCGCGAGGCTGGGAATGCCGTGCTTTCTGCACGCACAATGCCTGCGAGACGACTACAGCCAGATTCTTTGGGTTTAAAAAGGGGCCCGCGGGCAGCTCCCAATAACTAAGAGGTCCGTGCGCATTCCTGACCGCGATGCAGCTAGTGTAAGGCGCGCGCGCGCTCGCGCGCGTCTGCTGTTCTGCAACTGAGTTCTTGATTCAGAAGCGCTTGTGTTTTGAATCGCACCGAGTTCGTAGACGTCGTAGGATCCTTGTTTGCCCATTTAGCTGAAGTATAAGCCAGTCTGTATGTCGAACCGAATATGAGTCCACATAAGTCCTTGAATTAGGTTTTGCAACTTCGCCCTTTTGGTGTGGAGCCCAGGTGGCGCTCTGAACGTGCGAAGCGAAACACACTGAGGGGTCTTAGGCTGGAGCTTCACATCGGCAGCTATGTGCCAAAATCAAGGTCCGCGCAACGAAAGCCATAGGACAAACCCAACACCCCGAAACCGCGAAGCACCGCGAAGCATTCAACACCCGAGCGCCCCGTGAACCCAGATGTCAGGTCTTGGAAGTCTCTTGGACCTCGAGGGCGACATCAACTGCGATGAAGGGTATTTCGGGTGCCGGCTAAGAATCGTGTTTCTTTTGGTGGTGGGCTCTTGGCCCTGAATTTTTGTGGTGTGACTATGCCCTAGTAACAGTGTCCACTTCTGTTTTGTCTTTGTCCGGGCAGAAGCCCGGCCTTGAATCAAAGTCCTATAAACAGGGGCATCCCGAAACGAACCTAGCCGTCGCCCCTGTTGGACCAAGGAATGTGGCACCTGGTCTCGTCCTGAGCAAGATCAGCTTCAGCCAGGGCCTGATCGTCGGAAACTGCGTGGTCGGAGCCGTCGATGCCGACTCCAAAACGGCCCCGAAGACCGTGGATCTGAGCTTCCAGATTCAGCGGCTCAGAGCTGCTAACACTTACTAGGCAATGCTTTCTACACAGAGAGACTTGTCTTGCCTCCAGCTTTCAGCTCTCCCGAGGAACAGTCTCTACAAGAAGTGCTTGGTCATAGGTCCTTGTGGCGCCGGTGCTGACATTGCAGTTCCTTGCATCCAGAGCGGGCTCCAGGTCGCTTGGATCATCTGGGATCTGCCTACCACGGATTTGGGTACTCTACGTCGTGACAGAAAATCCAACAGGGCCCGAGGATTGACGAGAAGTTCCGGCTCATGAAGCTTTAGCCCAGGCTCTTGAAACGACTTTCCAAGCTCTGTTGTCTGTTTTCCCCTCCAAAGTTTCAGGGCAAGGCAGGTTCGAAGAAGCAGTCTTAAGGGTATGTGCCTGTTCTTCTGCTCGGAGCCTTTCCGAGGCCTGCGATGGAGGTCCAGCTCAGTCCTTTGTTCGGGGGCCACTCGTCGAATCCGATGTAAATGGGTATCGGGAAATGTACAAGCTGCGGAACGGCGGGAAGAACGTGGAGCTTGCATTTCAGAGCACAGAGTGGAGTACAGTAGCATGGCAGCTGCCCGACAGCGGCCTTTACGAGAACCGCTTTGGGATCAAGGAGGAAAGAGTTGGCAGCTCTGTGCAAGCGAACTGGGTGTCTCTTCAGGCCACCAGCGGCGGAGGAGACATCCGCGGTTCCAGAGAGTCCTTTCCATATTTCAACTCCAAACCGGCCAACTCGGGTGACGCCTTTGTGTGGACGATGTCTACGACACTGTCAGACACAGAATTCGAACTGGATTGCGGAGCTGGGTTCGTGATCCAACAGTTCTTGAAGCTCCAAACTCAGGTTCGATACTCTTGTGTTCGCCTGGCGAGCCTCGGTGCTTGCGCTGAGCAAACCTCCGTTCAACAGATCATTGGCAACACTGCTGCCCGGATTGACATGGATTGCGGCAGTGATCGTAGCATTCAAGCGATCTTCGGAGAGTACGATGCTGCTGGAAAGTGGGCTCGCTTCCGCTTTCGTTGCTGTCAAATCGCGGCCAACCCGATCCTTTTTCGGAGAACCTCTGACGAGTGGGAAGATTCGGAGCTCACAGAGGGGGAGCTCGGCATCTACGCACCGGTTGGAATTGATGACTTTGGCCGCCGCTTGAATCGCAAGGCCTATAACCTGTAGACTCGCTAAACCAGGCACCTGCTCTGTAAGGGGGCTGGAACAGTGAATACAGCTATGCCTTTTCCGAAACTCAGAAAATCTTTTCACCTGTACTGAACTTTGTTTTCGGGAGGATCTTTATTTGTACTCCTCTTTGGGGGGCGCACCCTTACTGTAATGGATGCCCATGACCACTTGAGATCCGAGGACCACAGTTTGACATGGAGCTGAGCTTCTGCAAGGCGTTAGATCAAGAAGGGTATAGTTGCCTGTAACACTCCTGCGACATTTTGCTCTAGTTCGTCCCAAGCCACGGTAAAAGCCCATTGCTTCTTCACCCTGAAGGCCCCGTAAACCCTAAACCCTGCAATCCTCATACAGTCCCCGGTACCTGAATACTCAATTCGATACTTTGTATTCCCATTGTCCCATTGTTGTGCCGATGATCTCCCGAGCTGCAGTGTTAGAAATCCCTGTTTATTGCGGTGGATGGGGATCTCATGTGTGCATACAGCAGCTTCTCCCAGTCTTGGTTTCACTCAGAAGACCACGAACCGCATGCCTCGCCTGGAGTGTCCGAGTGTGAGCGCCGAAACCCTAAAGGCCCTAAACCCGATAATGACCCCAAGTGGCCCAAGCCCCCTTCGCCTGAGTCCTGCGGCTTTCGAACGGACTACAAGTTCAAGCATAATGCTGACGAGGGTGAGTGGTGCGTTTCTCGAAGGAGAGCTGCGGGTTCCGGATTTAGAGATAAAGGGTAGGCAGTTTCGTGGAGGCATTAGAGGCGGGACCAGGATTCGAGGGTTTAGGGGATTGAAGTAGACGGATTTGGGAAAAGGTTGCAACATGTCTCAACTACAGGAGGGCTGCATCTACCTGTGTCTCCAGCGACTTGGTCCATCCGCTGGATGAACAGCTCGGCGGAAACAGCTGGCAGGCAGGATTGCCATGTCTGTAATCGTGCCGAAAAGCGCTGCAGGGCTTTACACCGTAAGCGTTCAGCCCATAGCCCCCATAGCCCGAAACTGCCGAAACTTGAGTCGAAGTGCTTTCCGTCAGGCCGTCCCGGTAGACAGCTTCGATGCAAGCTCTCAAGGTGGCGGAGGAGCACGCCTTCCCAGAAGGCACCTGACTGTAGTAACCTGTATGTAGTAACGAGCGGAAGTCTGCTGCGACGCATTCCTGGTTCAAGGGCATAGAATAGAATCGCATGGCAGCGGGAAGTCGCATGCGAGAAGGTGTTGCCTCAAATTTGGCTTGCCGAACCGAGTGCAGGTATCTGCACATGCCGCGCATGCGGCAATCAACGGACAGTACGTGTGCGGTCCTTAACAGCAAAGCTCGGGAGGCTAACGGCACGGAGCCCTAAACAAAAAACACTTCATCCCTAATCGCCCCCACTGGTCTGTTGAACAGATGGACTTGGCATGGACCCCAAACAGAGAAGAACACCTGCACAAGAACCATGGAGCACCCTCTGGGCTCCCCAGATGCGCACGACGCCCCCCGGCTCCAAAGATGCGTGGAACTGTGGTGGGCGCACGATATTTAAAGGAAAACGACCCCTGCGGGACCGTGCGACGATAAGAGGAGTCGCACCACAATGCGCACTCAAAACTAAGGACACGATCGCAGTAGCAAATCCGCTCCACCACAATGAAAGATACAGACCCGCTGCACACGGCGCAAGGGTGCCTCGCTGGACAGCCATCTAACCCCTGTACTCTTAATGTAAAAGCTTCACGGCATTACGATGGTCCCACACTGTTTGTGAGACAGAAGCAATTGGAGCGATCCAGGTACACAGCGAAGCGGGCTCCACCGCAATTGCGCTTCGAGTCGGAGGTGGGGGGGGCTCTTCTTGCCTCATTGTTGCGAATTTAGCTTCGGGTTGGGCTCAGAGTTTAGCATGTGCCCCGCATTTCGGGTTTATGTTCAGGGTAGTGGATTGTGATGCGCGTAAATAAGTGAGCATCCTGAGCTACAAAATCATTTGTGCTCCTGGGAAACGAATACTACTACTACTACTACTACTACTACTACCACTGCGACTGCCACGGCCCCTGCTACTGCTCCTGCGACTGCTACTGCGACTGCTACTGCTACTGCTGCTACAACAAGTGACTGTGTTTTTCTTGTTGCTCTTCAGTGCGCGAACTTCCGTGCGAGGGGCGTGAGGATTCGCTCGTGCTGGTACTATCACTGCCTACTATTGTGTTTGCTGTTGCAAACTCTATGACTGTTAGTACTAGGACTGCTCCTACTAGATGCACATTCAGCATGGCTTTTAGTCACACGCGAAGTCACTACAAATCACGTTACGATCCTTGCACTAGCATCTGTTTGCAGGACCCACAGTTTGCACCCGAATGCAAAGACGAGAGCACTCCCGGCACTTCCACGTTTTCACAAGAAGAGATGAACCAGGTGGGGACTTTGAAAAGGCAGAGTCTTGGAGTTGAACTGGAGCAAAGCATGACTAGAGCTTGCCAGGTAGCAGAGGAGCTGACAACATCCAACCCTGATAACCCTTGTGCAAATATCTTCAGCACCTGGGCCGTCGGTGGATGCAGCTCCTTCTATTCACGGTTGTTTGAAGTTGGGGGTATTTTGGTGTAACATACCGCATCCCATTGGTGCGGTAGCCGAGGCACGCCGAAGACGAAGAAGCAAAGCACCGGAACAGAGTTCTTGGATAAGACCATCGCGGGATTGCAAGCCCGACCCGACGTATCGACATTCTTCCCTCAAGAGAACGACATAGAGGAGGAGTGGGACGGGCATGAGTGCATAGGGTTACGGGGTATGCTGTGCAAAAGCCCAGTACTGTGAACTGTTACTGCACCCCTGCTTTGCTTTCGAGGGTTGTGATATACAAAGGCCCAATAAGATGGCTGCTGCACCTACGCTTTCTGCTGCGGTCTTAGGGGCTGCTGAAGGGGTTTTAATCAGCACCAAGAAAAGAGCCCCTTCATATCAGGGATGCGAATCTGCTGAAATAAATATCGGCATCCCCGAAGAGACCCTCCGACTGGAAGTACCACTGACACTGCAACTGTATGCTCGAAAATTTAAACTCTATGGAAGCAAGTCTGGACAACAACATAACCGGTAGAAGCAAATATTGGCACTGTTCCCTGCTTCCAGCTGCAGGAGGGAGAGGGCAGCTCCTGGTATGAGTGGAATCTTAAAGACGTGGACCAGCCTGGAGAGAGTGGCATTACTTACAAGAACACCAAGGGATGCGACGATCGCCAGGGTGAGCGTGATAAAGTCGTGGAAGCATGGGAGGAGGAACACGAGAGGCCGGGTTTTCCAGTCCGGATGGGTTCGTGAACCTAATTCACGGCATGATGTGCTTACTGCAACCTGCAAACAGATAAGCTTGTAATTGCTAGCCAGGCTCTACGAAGGATAAAGTGGCTGTAAACTCTAGAATTGTAGTGTCGAAGAATCCGCGGCACCCTGCCATGACATAGTCCGCGAACCTCAAGGATGCAGGAAGTTCGCTGAGCAGCATTCTGCCAGTGGGATGGTTGCTACAAGTATGATGCGAGTCACCCCACTATGGAGGTTCCGGAGACTAAGAGACCCCCAAAACCCTGAGCGTTTGACCGCCAAGGACCATTTTCAGTCGTAACGGTTTCTTTCTCCTCCTCTTGCCATCTTCATGATCAAGACACGCACAACCCTTGCAGGAGAGCTGCATACTCCACCCTCGTGGCGGAGAATCTCATTCCATGGTTGGAAGCAAATCCGCGTGTCCAGGTGGCGTGTTCTCAACCTGGGCGTTTCTGCAGGGCTGTAGGGACTCTACGGGCATAAGAAGGAGGGGTTTCAGGGGTTCCCCAAAATTGCTGACAAGGTATCCTTTTTCGGCAACGGCTTTGAGATCCCCGTGGGTGAGATCCTCACGATTCCTGTCAAGGTGCCGGGTCCAAGATCGGCACTCCCAATCCTTGCCTCCGCGGCCTTGGGTCTAGGTCTAGGTTTGTAGGCAACATATCGTTGTGAGACTCATGTCGGGTGTAGCCGCCTAGAGGAGTGAGGATTGTGTCTCGGAGAGCGCATGTTTGATGCGGTGATTATGTTGCTGCCTTTAAACCCCAAGTTTCTTCAATCCTACACCTATGTTTGAATAAGTCTTGATATACTTAATCCAGCAGTAACAATAGTAGTAGTCGTCGTCGTAGTAGGAGTAGGGATAGTAGTCGTAGTGGAAGAAGTGGTAGCAAAACTAGCACATAAACAGACAAACAGATGAAGAAATAAATGGTAAACCAGAAATCATACTCATGCATAAGCAAGTAACAATTAAAAAGATAATCATCATCAATGGTATCAAACATCATAATGCAGCATGCAACACTACTACTACGACGACGGCGACGACTACTACTGCTACTACT